AACTATTGTTATGCCGATGCGCTTTGGACAATCGCGAGAAGATAAATCACGCCGTTGCTTTAAATTCTTTTTCTTTCAATCTATAAAAGTACTCAATGACATTTACCCCCGAAATATTCTCACTTCTGTCACGTGACATAAGTTGGCTGATGGATTAATTATGTGAATTTTACAAAGCTGAAATTTGATATTTAGCTGCACGAATAAAGATGCAAAACAATGGAACTCAATCAAATTTCTATAGCGAGCTAAATAAAAGTATTAAATCAAACTACAAAAGCCCCGAGAGCTTATATTTATAAAAGAATTGTGAAACACGTCACTTTCGTCTAGTAAATTTTGTAAGTAGAAAGAAAAACAACGTTCTCGTTATCTGTCGTTAGAACGATGAAAAGCGAAATTGAAGGAACTACGCCGCGCGAATCTCGTTGATGTTGGATTCGCTCGGCGCTCACCTCGTTGCGTTTTTGCTCTGCATAAATGATGAGCCCGAGTATTTTAATGAAGACATTCCGCAGCTGCTTGCCGGCTCCTTGGCGCACGACGACGGGAGAAAAGGGAGGGACAACCTCCTTGACTTAGATTTTATTCTTCGTCGCTTCAGCGTCGTATCTCAATGACGCAATGAACAATAGGATTATGAGAGCCGTTTACGCGAACTGATCGATTAAGCTCGATGTTTTCATAACTAAAAACAAAAGAGAAACAAACCGTTATTGAAATGAAATAAACTATAAGTAAATCTCCTTTAGCGATTAGAAATCGTCTGATTAAATAAATTGCCATGACTACAGACTTGATTAATGGAGAATATTCTTTTTATTTATATCTAATTTATTTCGTTCTCACAGTTCACAGAAGTCGAAAATGTACGCGTAGACAACATCTTTATACTGTTATTGCGACAAATATTATCATATGCCGCGGTGGTCGAATTGGTGAGACGCTCGCCTAGAGTGTAGGGAGGTCCAGGTTCAAGCCCTGGCTGAGGTGATACTTTTCGCGATAAATTTTCTGTATTATTAAAGAAGCCAGGTATGGACGAGAAAACACTGACGTTGTTAATTACCGCTGGCGACATTGAAGAATTCTGACTGGCCGATCGTTTCGTTTTACTTCAAAATCTACTGCACTTTCGCAAAGCCCGTTCCAGGATAACTCTATCGTGATGTGTGTAACAAGCCTAATGGGCGCGCCAGTGGTTTCCGGACTTCCGTCTTTGGAAAAGATGCCCCCGCCGACCGTAGCCGACCGGTTCCATTCCTGCGACGGCCCGAGGATCGCGACACCGTGGAATGCCCGAATCATGCTCCCTAATTCCTCGATGATCCAGGCCGACTATACGAAGATCTACCGCGATCGTCTCCGATCTATCCTGAAAGGGTCTCCCGCGGGGCAGGTAGCCTCTTGCGCGCGAGGGCGAGGAGGCGAAGCGGAGAGACTTCTGTCAGCATGACCACGATTATATCTATACGTTTATCTGCGCCTATGTCAGCCACGGGAGATAGCCGAATGTGCCTGTTCTATGTACGAGAGAACTTGTGGCTCGTTTATGTAATAGGGGATTCCTACCGTGGACAGCGCGCTGGCGGCGGGCGGACGAGGGGGGTGAAGCTAAGGACGGAGGAGAGATCCTACATTTCCCTGATCATAAATCTACCCTCGTGGGAGAAGACACTGATATCACGTGGGGTCCAGAGCGGAGACGAAGGTATATTGCGGCCGGTGGTAATTTTGGGTAAAGCAGGAATTTCGATAACTCGAAAGACGAGGCTTCCGATACTTTTATTTCTTCATTTGCGTCCTCGCCACGCGTGAATTCTCATTTACACTCGATACACCTGGCAAGAAACATTAGGAAAATTCGAAAAACGCGCAGATGTTGGAAGAAAGGCGATGAATTGTAGACGAAACTATTTCTCGATAATCAATCGAACGTAGAGTTAAAAATGTGTACAGCTTAATTCCTCAAGTTTGTCCTCAACATTTATGATTTACGCAGTCGGAAAATCACCTTCAGACATTGACAAATGGTCGAGAAATTCGAAAAGTAAAATTAATATTCATATTCACGATCGGGCCAGTTATTGCGCCGGTGCAATATCAACTCGATCCTGCCCCCGCATCATCCCAGTAGGTTTCGACAAAAGGGGAGCTCGTGTATCCGGTATTTAATTACCGCGGACCGAAGGGTGATTCGCGCAAGTGTTTCATTATTTATCGCGCAAATATCTAGTGCCATCAATATTTCCGTCGCACGCGAAAATTCAATATAAATTATTTCCGTACTCCCTTTCAAATGTAAACTCTTCAACAAATGTACATTCGATGTGTTCATATGCGTCTACAGGTAAAAAGACCGACGGAGAAAGTCATCGTTTTACCTTTCCCGTTTCAATATTCTGATTGCTAACGTTAATTGCGCGAATAAATTTGCAAATGCGATTCCACCGCGGGCATAATAGGAACGGTGAATAAACTATCGACCAAACAAAAGCCAGTTCGGTAATTACAACGGTATATGTTCCAGAGAGTGGCAATAAATTTTGCTCTTCTCGCCTTCTCTTTTTCTCTATCTCTTTCCTCAGCCTTCTCTTCGTATATACGGTGTTTCTGTGTTACTCCGTATTCATGCTAAACTTTTCGAAGGACATGGCATCGGTATTCGTTCGTATCATCAAAATGTATGCTGTAATTATGCAATTTATTCATTTATAATCAACTTTTCGTGCTCAATTTTGGCTAATAGTGAATTAATTTGTATTTTTTAAGGAGAATGGCCACCCTGTATGCCAGTTTTCTTCTTATCTGAGAATCGAGACTAGACCCTCGGTTGCCATACGAGGATTTATTTTATTATATACCGGATTTACTAGCGGCTACCGTTTATTGAAATCGAAACCCGATCGGAGATTACGAGGCAACAACGGAGTAACCTTTCGCCGTCATTACCGAGGCACTTAATTACCGCCCATAAAGCAAGACAAGCCCGACAAGACCGACACGTTACAAAGGATACTTCTTCGACGGGCGCAAAGTTATCTCGCGTGTGATAGTCTCGACGAAGCTTAAATGCATTCCGAAAATCACGTTTCAGGATTTTAAACGCCACATAAATCCCGCACACAAAAAGATAGCGGAGCTATTATTAATCACAGTGAATTAAATTTTCCCTTGGACAGCATAAATTTTCATTAATTTGTATTATGAATTCATTTTCGCCGATATGATGGTGAGAATTATACAAACATGATGTCACTATCCAAGAAAAATTAAATTGTTTGATACGAAGAAAGATTATCTTATTTTATCGATACTTTTGTTACGAGAAATTTTAATTAAACATTATGAATTAAAAACATAATATCACTGTCAAAGAAAATTTAATTATTGCGAAGAAAAGATTATCTTGTTCTATTTAAATGGATATTTTTGTTGTGGGAAATTCCAATTAAGTGTTACTCCACCTTCGTAGAAAACGTAACTATTTTGACCGATATTTGATAAAGACAACGAAAATCAGGAAGCTCGGTGTTTCGCAGCTCTTCACGTGGGTCTCACGTGGCTTCCTGCCAGTAGTTTTTCCGCGTCCAGCTGAGGCATATGCACGATTACGTAAGAAAACACGGGGATCATACGAAACGATAGAAGAAACGGAACAGACTGATTTATGTATGCTGCCGGGGCGATGCCCCTACCAAAGTCGGCGATGTTAAATTGCCGGATAAAACGCGATTGGAACCCTTACAGAATATTTATAACGCATAAGTTAACATCACTCTACACATATGCTAGAGAAAAAACCTCGGCTTATCTCGATCCACTATAAAATATTATCGATTGCATTTATTATTACTTATGCATTCGAATGTTGGTACGTGCTTAATACATCGCGGGACAAAAGTTATGAGGTTCTGGATTATTAATTTACTTCTTTTCGAACAAAAGCCTTACTCGCGTAGATGGAGAGGGAAAGCGAAATCGAATTTTTCATCTCGAGAGCCTCGTACCTTTTTCTGCCGAAGAAAAGAAGGATTTACATATTTTCTGAAAGCATTGTAGCAAAAGCTGACGCGCGTTTTGACGCAATCTCATATTGCCGAGTCAATTAATGCACGATAAAAACTCGCGGCAGTAATAACAACTTGCTAAACGCCATTTATCTTGGAGCAGCCCCGACTACGAGCATATGTTTTACACGTGATAACGCGCGCGTCGATCATCTGCACGTTTCCTTCTCGGCCGAAGTGACGAAGTTAATTGCTCGTTTTCTCATCTCGTTAGAGTAACTTCCGCCTGCGTCGGGAAAACAAATGCTCAAGCCCACGTGTTACGAGCTTAAATTAATGCCCTCGAGTTATTACGCTACACGCAGAACATCAAGTTTTCTTGTACAACCTCTGGCAGACAAAGTGTCCCTTTGCATCTTCTCTGTTAATCAATTTGCTTCTCTTTAGAAAACATACAATATAGATAAGAAAGACAACAACAGAGACGCAGTGCTAAAATAGAAGTACATTGCTACAACTTGTAACACTTCGCTTACCTGTTTTTTTCAAAAGGAGAGATGAAAACTTGTGATTAGATAGGTTAATCTTTCTGTTCTTATTACGTGCTCAGTTGGCTTCCTCGTCTGAAGTATCATGAAATTTAACAATGTGTAATGCTGCAGAAGTATAAAATCCTATTTTTGCCAAAAATTGCTTTAAGGAATTCACTGGTTGAAGCTAGTGAAAAGTTTAAAGATAAAGTTAACAAAAAAATTTACAGATCAGATATATATCGTCAATTCAAATATATTATTGGCTAAAAGTATGATAAATATTTCGCTTTGTGCAATTTACATTAATTCACAGAAGTAACTACAAAAATTAGGAAAGTGAAAAATGTAAAAATCCGTAAACTGTGAAAAGTTTGACAAACTAAAACGTTGATCACGATCGGAGAAAAAACAATATTGATGGTAAATAGAAAAAGCAAATGTGATATGCGAATTATTTATTTAACAATTAGACAGGCGATAACATGAGATGGATACGATGCGCTTAATGTAGGCAATACGATTATACCGGACAGATAATAATCGGTGGAGTAGCAGGTGGAAATGATTTGAGAGATGACGAGGTAAGATGTGCGAGGGGTGCAGCCAGGGGTGCAAAGAATAATAGTTGACTTGTCGGATAATAACTATTTTAATTCGCTAACTCGGGGAGATTTCAGAATATTTGCGGCGCCTATTGTTTATGATACATTAATAATAATAATTAATAATAATATATTTATATATATGGCAAGATCATTGGTCAATAAATACTTCACTTAACTCGGCAGCTAAATTTGCCAAATAATTATTCCCTAGTTCGGAGATCAGCGATCTCAAAAATAAATTAAAAAGATTTTGCCTCTTAAATAAAAAATTGGCTTTCTAGTAAAATTTCAAACGTGCGTGGCTCGTTATTAATTAACCATTGCGGATTTAATGAAAATTTACAGACTGAAAATTGTGCAGAAGAAGATCGAAGATACCGTTAATTATTTGGGAAATTTAGATGTGCCTTGACGCGGTCTAGATCGCACTACGCTATTGTACCAGCTGAAGACGATTCTCGGTCATGCATTCTCTCGGCCAATCACTCTCCTCGATGCCAGACACTGCAGTCACTATAAAGGTAATAGTGCGCGCAAGTATTCGTCTAATACTATCTGTTTTATGCTAATAGTAGATCCTTAAAAGATGTAGGTAACACTATGTACATGACAACGACGGACGTCTCAGTCGTCATTTTTCCTTAACAATGTCCTTGTTATTATGTCCGCGTCTTTACGATCTCCATCGTTAGATCGCATTATTAAATTTTCTTATTAATCAAAACACAGTCCTTCAGTCGTCTTCTGAATTTAAGGAAACCGCATGCCTCCTGCCGATCTCCAACGCTCGATCCTAGAACCAGTAGAGGTCCTTGGAATCCTGAACTTGAGACTCGAGTCCTGCAACAGGGAACAAGAGAGATCTTGTTGAATATGCGATTTACCGAATCCAACAATGTACGTGATCTTTTTATACGATGCTTAAATTTTATTAATTCTGTTAATTATATACGCATAGACACGGAGAGAATTTTCTCTCAAAATTTATCCCGTAAATCATGTAATCGTGGGACAACATGACATATCCGAGAATTTTATGAGAGTCTTTTGAAACTTTACCATACGTTTGACTAATAATTATACTTAGTACACATTTTGCTGGTAGAATGTATGGTAAAATTTCAAAAAACTCTAAAATTCTCCAATTTTAAAAGAAGATTCTCTCCGTGTAACTATAAAGACTTTGCTATTTTTAATCTCACATTTCTCAGATTTTGAAGCAGCTGACTTCGTTGTTGCCTGAAAGCAATATTACCAAGTAAAACATCAATCTTAGGCAAATGCTTCTGGCACTGCAGTGAGAGATAAACTAGACCCTAAACATACAAGTGATCAGCTGTTTCAAACTGCTTTCCGATCTGAAAGATGTTTCTTGTCGTTGCTCGAAATTATTTATCGGTAATAATAAAAGGAGAGACAACGTTATGACGGATGCGAGGGTGCAGAACTGGTGATGGCACCCGCTGAGCAACACGGGCAAACCGACGGACGGACGAACGAATGGACAGATGGGGCCTGATGTCACGAGTCTGGCCAGTTAAGAGATCTCGTGTCCCTCGTGGTCGAATTTATCTCTTATCTCGATGTACACCGAAGAGTGAATCGACAGATCATCGTCGCCGATATAGCATTCTTAAGTGATTTCAAAAGTCGCGGCGTTACTGTATAATAAAGTAAAGAATTATTTAACGCCAGTACATGATTAACCAACGTAGAAAATTGCTAGACGACGCTTGGCTGGCAAATTCTAATTAAAGATATTATATATATATAATATGCCTCAGTGGTCGAATTGGTGAGACGCCCGCCTAGAGAGTAGGGAGGCCCAGGTTCACACCCTGGCTGAGGTAATATAATATTTTTCGCAATGAATTTCTTTAATTAGAATTTGCCAGCCAAGCGTCGTCTAGCAATTTTCTACATTACTGTATAATCATCGAATAATTTAGTATAACAAATATTATATTCCGTACTGGATATCCCGTATAAAATACTATTCATCAAGAGCGTGATCTTCGTTTAGAATTGAGCACCGACTCTCGCGTATGTAATTAAAAAATTATTTCGGATGGAGATGAGAAAGCGAGTAATAAAAATGTTGAAATAAATCGCGCGGTTGAATTAAATCATTACAACGATCAAAGGGTTGTATCTATAGGGCTATATCTCTTTTCATTTTCTTCTTTAATATTTCTTGATCGGATCGGAGCGAGCCGCGCGTTCGATTATCGTGCAACAGATCGACGTTTCGACATCGTGAATTGCTAGCACGTGATACGGGAGATTGAGTTTGTATCTATCGATACGCACGTGTCGGCACGTGGACGTATCTACCTGCCTCAAAGTCAGCAACGTGCGACCCCATGGATACATCGCCATATTGGCGCACGAATGCACGCGTATACGCACGCGAGTGCGGAACACAAAGGGCTCGGTCGTGTGAGTGAACGTCGGCGTCGCGTGGAACGCAGAGTATTATTTGATCGCGAGAGTCGCCGAGCCGGAAAATGATCAAGGAAGGCATCAGCGGATAGACAGGAAAACAGTATTGGACAATTATCGCGACAGATTGGCTATTATGAAGAAACGTACAGTGACGAATTATCTGAAATGAAATCTTCTCCCGAGTTTTTACTCGATACCATCTATTATTGAAAGTGTTTATTTAAATAAGAAACTAACGCTGGGCAATGTGAGTAAAAAACGCCGTTATTGTTGCCTACGTTCTAGGCGGGCGTCTCACCAATTTGACCACCGAGGCATATACATATACCGCCTAGAGTAAAGAGAGAGACAGAGAAGATTTAAGAAGACTTTCTTTCTCTGTCTCAACATCGTGACAAGGGAAAATCACGCCTGTGTAGTACTGCGTAGACACGATTCTTTTCTTTTACGATGGTGTAAGACAGAGAAAGGAAGTCTTCTTAAATTCTCTCTCTCTCT